AAGAATCGCATTTTTTTTTAATTGGGGGCCAAAATCAATTTGGGCGACTTCCTAATGAAATGATTAGCGTGCCGTTTTAGACAAAAAAAAGGGGGGGGGGGGTAATGTAAAATTCACAATATCAATAAATGTCAAAGTTCTCGCAAACTCAATTACCGTCGGTTTTTAAACGTCCATTATCATTAGGCTAAGTAGAGTAAATTGTGTTAATAAACCGTTGGTGAAGGGCCCTCCCACGTGTAAAAAAAAGACAAACCGTAACAAATACGACACGACTTTATCTACCTCTACACATCTTTTAAAGAATCAATTGCGTAGGTCACAACTAATCAGGGTCGTATCGGTATCTCTCGTTCGGAAATATTTCTACGTGGGGGTATCGGTAATGATAAAAAATGGACACCTGGAATTTAGTAGGCGAGATTTTGTAAAGATCAAAAATTTATATTTTTTTTTCCTGCCGTGGGACGCGTGTAAAAGTCAACTCGAAAATTTATAGGTAATTGTTTCCGTCAAAATTAGAAGACAATTCCTACTTTTTTCGAATCCCACGGATGCGGCTAACAAGAAGAGAATTTCACTTCGACTTCGTTATTATTACGAATGCAGTTTAATGTGGGCTGTAGGTCTTTCACCGCAATGGAGCAGGTTGTACACTTATTTACACCTCTCACATAATCTCATTACCATATTTCAATCCTACGATTCGCGCGCGCGACTAAAAAAAACTGGAAATTCGCGTCGTGTGTATTGCGCTTTAATTGCGGCAATGGGAATTTCGTGCATAAAAAAAGTGCCACTTTCACCACTTACATTCAAATTCCACGCTGGTCGGAATAAACAACACAGAAACGTCGCAAATTCTCAAAACGGAACAAAAAAAAGTTCTTCACGGTACACTCGAAAATTTACAACTGAGCACACACCTATCATTCAATGGAAGGGAAAAATATGAACGAGAATACTCAATGGGGAGGGGATGGGACGTCGAGCGAGAGGAAAGACGGTGTTTCATTCATAATCGGTCGACCTTATGGCGGTGCGAAGGGGGGAAGATCCGGTCTATACTAAACCCGTGGACACGATGACGATCAAATTCCACGCGATGACTTTGTACAGCCAACAATAAAAAAATATTGATTTGTTTCGTATTTCGTGATTTGACGTAATTTAACTACGATTTACAAATCGCTGCCAATAATTGCCAGCAAGAGAGCGGGCGACCTTCCGCCTTTCCCTAAATTGCTTTTTTTCGAAGAAATTCTACAAACTGTTTACGTGCGGAAACTACGTCGATTTATTTCATTTGGACGGCATGCGTCGGTTTATGCAAAATATTACACGTAGATGGACAAAAATGCGATCAGGAGCCCCTCATTAACAAAATTTTGCAATTCTAATTAGACCTCCCCCACAACCGTTCTACAGTCCCAACAATTGATTTATTTAAAATCGATTGTAAAATATGGGAGTATTAGTTTTCAATTTTTTGCATAATAAAGACGGAAAATTGGAAAAATAAAACCCGCATCTTTTTCAATAATCTGTGATGCCATGGAATTTTATAATTTACTACATTTCTGTAAAGCCAATTTTGTAGTCTTCAAAAATGATGTGTCACTTTACGAGGGGTGGTGGTGTGCATATTATATTTTAAAGTGGGAGTAGCTGGGGGGGGGGG